TTTTTCATTATATATATAAAATTTAAAATTAACTCTCTCAGGTTTGCTTGCAATTTAATGACCAAATAGGTATAAACTGCTCAGATCATCTTACTTCATCATCTAATCCCGAATTACAGAAAATAGCAAATTGGATACTTTTATTAAGGTATAGCTTATTGACTTATCTTAATTATTCTATTTATTTAATTTTTTTGTTTTCTTGAAGCAAAAATATTAGAGATTTATTTCACTAAGTTTCATTTCTACTAAAACTTTTAATTTTTTATTTATAATTTTGAAGTATACTGTTAATTACTTGTTACGAGTACAAAGGTCATTTCACTAATTTTGTAGTAGTATTTCGCACTGTTCGTTTGGAGTTATTGCTTCAGCCTTAATTGGACGTATTGGTGATGTAAAATCTCGAAAATTAGCTTTAATAATTCCATTCACTGGATTAATACTGGAAGGTATTTCTCTAATAATGCAGTCATATTACATGAAGGTAAAAAATTGGTGAAGTTGAATGATTGATTAAAGTAAAATTTAAATACGTTCACGTGAACGGAATATGTAAAGCTTAATAGTAAGGAAAAATATTCAAATAGTATACGAAAGTTAAAAACGATACTTGAATGTCTGCATTATAGTATATTTCAATTCTAATATTTTTCAGTGGTGCTGAATTTTATTAAGTTATTAAGTATTTATTAATTCTTAGGAAGAATTGTGATAATACAACGATTCCATGACTTCTTAACTAATCACTTCCAGCTATCAGTGTATTGGTTAATTGCAAGTGAAGGAATATTTGCTATATTTGGTGGTTACATGTCTATATTTTCATCATTTTTTGCTTACGCGACAGAATCTGTAAACAATTATCCAGCAAAGTGTCGTTCTCAAGTGATTGCTATTTTGGAAGGAATTATCGGATTGGGAGGTAAAATTTGCATATTTTGTGAGGCGATAATAATTGTTAATAAATTTAGTTAATTATTTTGTTTACAGGTACAGTTGGTTATCTGTGTTCTTTCATACTCAAATTACTAGGGTTTACTGGTATATTTACCATATTTCTTGTAATCTATTTAATCTGCTTGTTATTCTTAGTATTTATTATACCATCTGTAAATTACCATAATAGAAATACAGAACAAGAATTTAGAAAAGATATTTTTGGATTTGAATTATTTGTAAGTGATTTTATTTTTGTCAACAAATATTCAAATTTTCAAGTTTTTATGTAAAAACTGCATTTCTTTGTTTGTATTGTTATTTTTTGTTTTCAGAATTATTCATTAGCATTTATAATTTGCTTTGATATTTGAAAACTTTTCTTCTTCCATTGCCCTTAAACAGACAAAAATTTTTGGTTTTGCTTTTTTAATTTTTTTTAAATAACAAAAAAGCACAAAAACATTTTATCACAAAATTATGAATGTATTATAATTTTTACATTATAATAGAAAAAATGTAATTAAAAAATATAAATAAAAACTATATGAAAAATTTTTTAAGTTTTAAAAATATTTGGTATTTTTAATATACTTTGATTAGTGTCAAATTATTTAGACTATAAAATGTTACTCAGATTTATCAAAAATACAATCATATTTAAAAAATTTGATCTCTAAAATCAGTAATACTTAAAATTTACTTAATAAATAATATGCAAATTTTTGATAAATAAAAACTTTTTTTAGAAATCGATGCACCGACAAGAAAAAACATTTACTTTTGTTACTTTACTTACAGCATTTGCAATTTCCTTCTTTACTTTCATAGGTAAGTATTACTTATTAGTTTTTACAGGTATTAGTTATCAATTATCCTTTACACAGAAGTATACACAAAATATTTTTTCCATTATAATTACACAATTAATTTTTACACATATTTGTATATGTGAGTGACTTATATTATTTTATACATAAAACACTTTTATATACAATAACTCTTGCTTATATAATTATACAAAATTATGGATTTATTATACTTAAAACAATAATAACAGTAATCTTTACAACAATTACAAAAATTTTCGTCTTAACTTTCAATTATTTTTTTAAGTAAAAAAATTTTGGAAACTTTCAATTTACTCTCCCATTTTGGCAAAAAATCACAGTTTTATGTATCATTCGGAATGTTTCACAAATTTGACCGTAGCCTATCGTTTTTGTATTTGAAGCAATGCTCGTGAATATTCATAGGCTCAATACATATATCATTTTACTACCTGAAATTTCGATTCGCTTGGGATGCTGGAATGTATGGATTCGTCAAAGGACCTGCTCAAGGGCTTTCTACCTTAAATGTAATTACTTAAAATTCATTTAAAGTCTTAAGATACTACCATTCAGTACTGGGAACATTTTTTTTGAAGTGTCAAAGGTTAGTTCTTACGACATTTGTTGCGAAAAACATTTAGCAGCATAGCAAAGTACTGAAATTAATTTGAGTGTTTTGTGCAATTTGCGTACTGTGTTCTATCTAAAGTAAAATAATTTGTGTTGATAATTTTGCATAACTTGGAATATTTTTCAGGTGCTTCTTGTTTATCCATTCTTACGGAAACACAATGTTAGTGACAGAGCGCTTTCTCTACTTGGTTTAATTTCTAGAGCATTAGGTCGATTATGGCTTGCTATTACGTGGAGTACGCCAGCCACTTTTATGCGTAAGTCTCAATATTTTCTAAAAATCTATCTTCACACCTATAATCAATTTATCACAACTACTAGTTTAAAGATTGTTTAATGAAAAATTAATGCTCATTTCTTGAAATTAATGATCATGCGCTAATCTATGACGACTTTTATATTGTTAGATTGAGTGTCTGAATGCTCATAAATTCATTAAAAACTTTTTAGTGATTATTTTCGACGCATTCTCACGATTCGCAGCCACTGGAATACGGGCAATAATGACTAGTGTTGTCCCATCAGTTAACCATGGTAAGTCAGTAATTAGCCAACACTAATATCAATGATAAATATGAGTTTGTTAATTTTGAGCATATGAGATCAATGTGTTGGGATGTAAAAGCATCAAACTATTATTGAAAGACAAAACATTATTTCAGGTTCAATGTTTGCACTGTTCGCCATAACAGAAGCAATCTGTAACTTACTGGCTTCTGTAACATTTCATACACTTTATCCCCTTACACTACATTTCCTACCACAGTTATCTTTCTATATTCTTGCTGCCTCGATGCTAATTCCCATCCTTATACTCTGGTACGTCTTTGATATGATTCACTCTTAAGTCTAATGCTTAGTTTATATTCACAGCAACAAGCAAACAAAATCATGATGGATTCCTCTCAACAAATCAATCCTGCACATTTACATTTTCAGTTTTAAATGGTCATTAATTTGCTTTTCAGGTTATTACCAGAGCAGTGCACCAATTGTAACCAGGGCATTAACCAATCTAATTCAAGCTTTTCTGAAGTCGATTCACAGACAATACGAGATGACCAGTGATACAAATAATTTCAGGACTTTTTCCAACTATTTATCAAATTCATAAACCTAATTCTACAACATTCCTTACCGATGCATGTATCTTTCTTGGCAACTATGTCGCACAACTTTCAAGTGCATAAATTTTGCACTATTCACGACAGGGGAATAATTTCTTTTCTTGAATGTTATGTCATACTAGCAAGAGTTAATAAAAATTATCTAAAAACTCCACAGGAACTAGAATCACTTGCAATACGCCACCAATCATTCGCGATTAGTTAGAAACTGAAAATCCTTTAGTCTTAGCGCACGCTCCATAAGACGAAATTGTTTGCTGGGTAAGGAAGTTTAGCAATTTGTTAGATTTCATAGGAAGAAAATAAACTTCATTACAACTCGAAATTAGACAGCCAATATAGAGGTATATATGGATTTAATTGCTTTTACAACATTCTTAACGAAGTAAATGCAACTTTATTTGGTCTAAATGTTTTATCGATCATAAATAAATTGACATAAATTTCGATTTAGATACAGAATAGCTAATTGAAACTGTGGTATAACGAAGTATAAAAGGTCATTATGACCCCATGTTAGAAATCGGTGCAGCGAATTGTCGCTACATATTTTAATAATATTACGAGTCAAGATATAATTATGAAGTCCGCGAGCGACATTATAATATTTGTATTTAATTGAAAGATATACTTTTATGAGGTAAAAAGTTTTAGCATTATATAAAAAACTTGTAAATTTCTGGTCAGGTCTCTGTTATTCAGGTCACTTTCGCGAGCATCAGTATTCCTCGGAGTAAAATTCTGTTTCCTACCAACAATTTGCTTCACCTGTATAATATGTGACTAACATAAACTACTGCACAGAAATCAAGCATAATATAATTTGTAAAAAAAAGAATAGAGAATGAATGAATATTTTTAAGACACATTCAATAAACTATTCGCATCTTTGTTGAAGTAATTTGCAGTCATATCAATTTTTGGGTGACAAAAATATGTCAACTATTGATCAATTTTCATTTTCACGAAACTGATGTCGAGATTTGGCATAATATGATAAAAAGCTTAACAATGACAAACAAAAAAAGGTGGCATATATGGTGTGGAATCCATAATCCCTCATACAAATTTATGCACTAAGACGTTGCTGATACATTGAAGTGAATCCAGTAATGAAGACGATAAATACAACTGCTGATCCAAAATCTAGTTGCATGAAACTTTAAAATCCAAATGGTTAAGATATAGCATTTTTGAAAGATGCGTATGATGTTCCGACTTACTTTTTTTTCTGTATTCCTGCTGCTGCAACACCAGGAGTTCGCTGTGGCGATGTGATTGGGCGACCGCTGTTCAAACCAGCATATTGATATTTCGCTTTTTTTTCTGATGGCTTCAAAATCTAAAATTAATTATGCTGTTTTCAAGTCATCAAAAAAAGATCAAATATAATTGAGCAATGTCTCAATAATACTGCATTATAGCTGCATAACTATTTGATGTGTAGAAAGGAAGTATACAAAATTAGCTGTAGAATAAACACTGCAAAGTGTTTATGAAAGGCAAAAACTTATTTCAACTACGAGTAATATCAATCGAATGCATTTCTTCATAATTCTAGTTAGAGAAAGTCAATGTAATTTAATCAGTAATATCAACGACTCAGAACTTATCAATTCTTTCTTTACCGGGTTATCCACACTCAATAAGTTATTTAGCACAAAAACATAAACTTACATACAAAATGACAGAACTGATATTGAGCAGTGATTAATGAAATAAATAACAAGTATAATAAATACACATGTTTGAAATGAGTTGGTACAGCAGACAAAAAGTAATTATAGTATAATTTTGATTGGAAAAAATGTGTTTAGTCGACAAAAAATTGGAAAAATAGCTTTTTATGATGTGATCAAAGACTCGCCATTTTCATTAATCATAAGGTGAGCTCGAACACATTTTTAAAATAACAAACCTGAAAAGAGCACATCAATGTTTCATCAACGCTCATCATCCCACCAGCATTGTCAAACTCACCACAATAATTTGGCGCGGAAAATAATGTCACGAGCTGACGTTTAGCAAAAAACTCGTAGCCATCTTCTACCACCTAAAATCACAGTTGAGACAAGATTAGTGGAGCAGAAACTTTGATAAAAAATAAATACCTATACGGATGACCGATTTAAAGTTAATTTAGACTCACATTTCCCACAGATAATTTATAGTTAAATTCACTATTCATAAATAAATCAGCAGTTATCGATTTGAAAACTGGTCCCAATTTACTCACTGTAGTTCGATAATTACTGATTTTTCTGTAATAATGTGAAATTTGCAAACTCAAGAAGTGCAAGATTTGATGATACCTGATGAGCCCGACAAATTAAGTCTAAATCATGACGATTTAAAAACTTTGCGACGACATCAGGCCCGAATGTAAATGAAACACCTCGGTCATTTTCTCCCCAACCTTGCACATCTTTGTCTGGATCAGACCATAACAAGTCACATAATAAACCTATAAAAAACACGAGTAAATAAACAAATTGTGATGTAGGCAGAATAAATGATGAAATACATAAATTACAAATTATATCAAAAAAAACCTTAAAAACAATAATATTCACTGTAAGGTTTTTTCAAAGATTTTTTTGACTGTTGCTTGCTTTCATTTAACAAAAATTAAAGGAAATCAGCATAATTTCGGAATTTTACGGCCAAAACAAAAAATTTTTTCAAATTAAAATAGGTACCAGTATCTGGAACATCTGTAGGACGCATAATTCTACGGATCTGCTCCATATTTTGCAAATCTGGAGAAAGTCCTCCATGACAACAAAAAATTTTTTCATCTATGAGAGCAGCTATTGGCAAACAATTGAAGCAATCAGTGAATGTTTTCCACAATTTTATTGAAAATCGACGTTTGCCTAAAAATTTTAAAGCAATCTACAACAAGTTAATTACCAATAATTTGTAAAACTGTGTATCATTACAATTCAAGTATAGCTAATCATTGCAAATCAAAGTCTCACATTCATCATAAAATCCATATATACGATTAATACTAGCGCACTCGTGATTTCCTCGTAACAAGAAAAAATTTTCAGGATACTTCACTTTGTAAGCCAAGAGCAAACATATTGTCTGTAAAAGATTAATGACTGGATTATGCACTATGATGATTTTAAGTACTGTACTGAGAAATTATGTATGAATTTAATTTTTGTTTTGATAGTATGAGGATAAACTACAGACCAATGAAATATAACAAATTACAAAATGGATATCATATACTATACTTTAATACTTAGGTGTGCAGTTGATTTATGTTCTAGAATATGCGAAGACAAATTTTTGAAACTAATGGAATAATCTAGAGAGTTTTAACATTTAAAGTTTTTAAGTCTAGAAGTTGACACATTGATTATTGTATTGATTTCAAATACAAATAAACCAGCATTTTTTAGAACCTAGGAAATCACTCTTAAGTTCGTAGAAATGCAATAATTAATGTGAAACCTCTAGACTTTGCTTTCCTCGATCAACGTAGTCTCCAAGAAATAAATAATTTGCTTCTGGTGGGAACCCACCATACTCAAACAATCGTAACAAATCATTGTACTGCCCGTGTATATCTCCTGAAACAGGTAGTTTTACTCAAAGATGAACTACTGACAATTTAATGGTTAACTCAGATTTAAGACCAAATGTATTCTTTTACTATATTTTCCAACACATTTTTTTTAATAACTTGATATCAGTATCAATTCTAGGCTATACAAGATTGAGCTTTTTTTTTTTACCTGTATAAAAAAGAAAAAAGAAGCTTGATGTTATATAGCTTATAATCTTAAAGCTCTGACGTTCCTAATACGACAAATTGATATGACTGCCCACAATGAAAAAAATATTTACATACCACAGATTTTCAGTGGCGCTTCAAGTTCCAGGAGGATGGGCTGTGATAAAAAAATCTCCCTGCTTTTATGACAAAGTGCTCTTATCTCGTTTTCTGACATTTGCACAGTTTTTCCAGGACGACATCCTCGCACTGCAATATCTTGTTTATTTTGTGTTAACCTCCTTAAAAGTAAATTTTCACTCAATAAATTTCATTTACAGAAGCTTTTTTATTGTCTAATATTTGGTAAAAATTAAAAAATCCAGTGAACGAACATGATAATTTCATTTAAAAGAACTTCAATTACTTGAAAATCCAAGCTAAAACATTCTTCCAGAGTTTCACAAATATAACAAGGTATTACTTTTATTTATATGAAGTCAGAGTTACCATACGAACTGGAAAACCAAAGAACAAAAAAATTTTTATAAAGTAAATTTTCACTCAATACTATATTTTGAAGTGAAAAGAATTTTATTCCTGAAACCACCACAAAAAAATTTTACAATAAACAAGAATCACCGCCACAAAAATTTCCAAATTAAAATAAAAAAACCAACACCTCTATCAGTAATTAATTCTCTTCATATTTATTCATGATTGCTTTACTGAAAAAATATGCCAAAATAAAAACTCCCTTGATTACACAACAAATTGTTCGTCGAGAAAATGATCTTGAAACAGCAATTTTTACAATTTCAGAGCAAACTTTTGCTTTTGGTCAAATTAACTAAAAGTTTTGATAACCTTTTTTACTTTATTAGAAGTGATTTTATTGCTATTTGTAAAATATTACAGCGTCATTCATTACATTTACAAGATATTTATGTAAATGAATGAAAATGAATTTAACATCAAAATGAAAATAAAAGAGATATTTTCAAAACATTAAGAAATAACAAATTTGAAAAACCTTCTAAAAGTCGAGTAATTAAATGATCAACATTGAGGTCGTTATCACTGGACATGATTATTTGTCTACAGCCACTGCGAATCACACTCTGATATTTTGACTTGATATACGTATCAAAATTCAAACACTAACAAGCATAAATAAACCTGAAAAGCAAACGTATGGAATAAATTTGAATGTAAATTAACACAAATACAAGTTTCATCAAAAAAAAAGTTCACGTGAGTTTCAGTTTACGTCTTCTCGCTATAAATATATCAGCAAATGCCTTGTTTACTAAAATTCATGTACAATAATCAAAAATTGCAACAATCTACATAACACTGACGAAATTTTTCCATGCTTAATCACCTATTGAAAGTCAACATTTGGCACATCACCAAACGTAATCAATTTTTCCGTTCAATAATTTAAAAATTTATTGCAGCACTATATATAGTTTAAAGTTCTAAACATTTTTAGCAGTTGAAACATTAATTTGAAAATTTGTTATAAAAATTTGTTAACACTCTAATTGTTAATTTAAAACTGATCAT